GTTCCCCAGTGCTCCAGGATCTCTGAAAGATATAGTTCAGTGGTTCTGAGATCTTTTCTTCCAGTTCCTTCAGAATAATAGGGATGTAATCCATCCAGTCCTGGTGATTTGAACTCATCTAGGGTAGACAGGTGCTCACTTACCATTTTCTTCCCTAATATTTTTGTTTTGTGTTACTTGCAGATCCAGACCAATTGTTAACGTGGCCACACAAGTTACTTTTGAGCCCAAGGAAATTCCAGTGAAAGATGTTGAATGCGCTGGGAATAGCAAATCCTGGCAAAATATAAATTTGAAACTTAGGATCTGCTTCAATAACAGCTTTGCCACAGAGAGTTACAAAGGTGAGTCATCTGGACTGATCCTGATCCAGAGAACAATCCAGCATTCACATCGGTTGCACAGCGAGTGATATGAGGACAAGACAAAGCAGCCCATGGTTTCTTCGATGCTAGTTGCTTTCCTATGAAATGGCCAACTTTAGAAAGAACCCAAATGTAGAATCAGCCAGTGCCAGAGTTTGTTGCAGAAAAATCAAATCCAGAAAGCACAGAAAGATAACAGATTTAGCTGGATTCATTAACTTGTTTATATACATAATAACAGATGAATAAATGTACAATACCAATAGTAGATTATTTCAATGTGGTAGAAGTTACAAGAAGAACACAAGCAGGAGAGAATTGTTAGTTTCATTTCAGAGTTCAGAGCAAGCAGAATAGTTTCAGTTTCGATTCTCAGCACAGACTCAGATCTGTTTAAGCTCCCATTGGCTGACTTAGTTGCTATGCTTATTCATTGGCTGACCTTGTTACCATGTCTCTCCTAGTCATGAATATTCTAACAGCCAGCCCATTACATTTGTGTGTTTTCTGTGTTTGTGTCTTGTTATATTCACTTTTTTTCCTCACTTAAAATGGCATGGCGGTATTAGGCTAAGCAATGCACTAAATGCAAATTTAAGACTCATGAATTCAATTCCCAGAATTCCCCAGCCAGCTGGCTGGGGAATTCTGGGAGTTGGAAGTCCACAAGTCTTAAAATTGCCAAATTTGGAGGCCCCTGGCTTATAGAGATAGTCCTCGAACATAAGACCACAATGGAGCCCAAAATTGATATCTCTAAGGAAGACATTTGTTGAGTGAGTTTTTGCCCCATTTTATGACTTTTCTTGTCACAGTTGCTAAGTTTGTGTTTGTGTTTATCGCAGTTGTTAAGTTAGTTACACGGTTGTTAAGTGAATCTGGTTTATCCATTGACATTATCAGAATGTCACAAAAGGTTATCACATGATCTTGGGACACAGCAACTGTCATAAACGTGAATCGCCAACTTTCTGAATTTTGATCATGTGACATTGGAGATGCTACAACAATTGTAAGTGTGAAAAACGATCGGTGTTGAATACTAGCGCGGGAAATGCAAGCGCGGGAATAAAGGACTCCCTTCTGATTGGTTCCCGGGCGGAG